CCTGAAACTCTCAGACTGAAGAAGTCTCTTGGAGGAGAGACGAAACGTTTCATTAGAGAAGAACCCGTSCAGAAGACCTATACAATTTTTTCTTTTTGATTTTTTTACCTGGATTACTGAGATGCATCAGGACAGTATTGATCATGTATTTGCTTACAAATTGATTTCTGTTGTGGGTATAAAAGAAAACAAAAAAATATATTCTGTTATGTTTGGTCACAATTTCAAAGAGCCACTGCAGAGGGACCACAGAGCCACATGTGGCCCCAGAGCCGCAGGKTGCAGACCCCTGGCATAAGCTAACCATGATGACAYAATCATCCTGYGACAAACGTCAGTGCTAAACGCTGCTAACCACGGCTGCAGCTGCTGAAGATAAAATGTAAAGTTTTAACTATTATACACTCAGAAGGTGAGCTAAATAATGAAAATGTGTTAATGTTTTAATACTTTATTCTTGAACTAACTTTCAAATCTCTACTTTTCGTTCTACCCTTTTTTTTTTAGCAGATCTGTCTGGAGAATCAGTCTCCTCCCCCCGTTTGGTCTTCACTCCTCCGTTCCCTCTCTGTCCTGATGTTGGGCTGCCAGATAAGTTTCTGCTTGCAGGGAGACCACATCTGACACCCAGCTGTGTGGGTCATGGGCTACAAGAGCAGCTGCTGGTCATAAATCACCCGAGCTGGAGGAGCTCTGGCACTCCCTCTGTCAGCCGTGAAACAAAGACATAGAGGTAGCAGGGGGGGTCAGAGGTATCTAACGTGGATAACAGCGAGACAAGCAGCACCACCTTTTTTTTTTTTAGCGCCACACCGAACGCTCCTGCATCAGGAAACTGTAAAGAGYGGCTAAAAGTCAAGGCTGGAGCATGTGCAAAACATGGCAGTGGAGGATTGAAATGCAAAGTCAAGAAGTGTGCTGTAATATGGTATGCAAGCAATTATGGTTTAACAATCAATGCAGCCAGGGAGCTGCGAGGTCAAAGCGCAGACAACCCCTTGCTGAGAATCTGTAGCAGAAAAAAAAAAGCTAAATAATTCTGTCAACAGAAAGGGAGAGGCTTTGATGTGCATAAAAAAGTTTTTTTTGTTCTGATGAATGCTGCATTTTTTTGTTGTCCAAACAATAAAATGGATTTTACACATGCAAGGCCAGCAGATTCAGTTTTTTTAACTATATTTATAGTTTTCCTCAAGAGTCCTCATTTAATTTTCAAAGATTCTGTATTGTTGTTTTTCTCTGTTGCTTTTGTTTTAATGAGAACTCAAACTTTAAATGTCTTACAAAAAGGAAAGAAATAGAAAAATGTAAATCTTTTACTTGAACAGTCAGAAAATGCATCACATTTACACATAAAACGACTGATGGAATAAATATGTCACAAAAAAGAGAAAAATCTTCTTTTTATTGACATCGTTTCAAATGTTTTTATCCATTTGTTTCTCTTTAAAATAATATAACTACTAATACATTTTAACAACAACTTTAATGAGTTTATAACAACAGCCTTTAGYAGAAAAGTACTGCTGTTATTAAATTACAACTTCCTAAAAATATATATTTTTAATAATTTTACAAAAGTGACAATTYATATTTTTATTTCTGAACAAGAGGTTGTTTTTTTTTATTATTATCAGATGTTTTTGGTCCCACAGTTCAATTTGAATTACAACTTTTTTCAAATTCAGCTATTTTAACCTTCAAAATGCACCAATAACAATAAAAAAACACAATTTAGCTGGACATTTTTTTACATTTGAAATACTGAGTGTTCAGCATTCAAAACAAACCAACAAAAACAGATTGTTGAAACCATTTATCAGACAAAGACCAAGCAGAAATGTTCCAAACTGATCAGGGCCTTATTGATCGTCTTGATAGATTGTGTGTCTCCAGGTCGTGGTAATCCAAACTGCTCTGTTATTAGGTGTTTAGACTTATTTTCTTCTTGGTTAGAAAAGGCAAGTTATTTCTCAAAAGGCATTTAAGATGTTCAAATGATAAAGATTTTGGTTAAAAAAACACTCTCTTCACACCTTGACCTTTAGACCAGGGGCAGGCAAGTGGTGGCCCACAGGCCGTGTGTGGCCTGCATGAGATTTCCATCCGGCCTGCCAATGAGAAAAAATTAATTAATTAAAAATATTTTTAAAGAGTAATAAAGGACACCCAAAGCAGCTCTTTTTAAAGTAAAAAAAATAAGACTTTTATTTTGAAAAGGACACATTCTGCTCACAGTATTAGTTTAGTGTGTTCAGTCTGCTTAGAGACGCCGTCTGCCATGACAGATTTTAATATAAGTCGCCTCCACAACATGTTGCACAAAGCTAAATATGATAAGTTGCACTTCTCTGCTTTAAACATCCATAATCAGAACATCTGATTTGTATGTGTGTGTTTTCTTAAACAGTCCTCATTTGCGTGAAAAGTAAAAAAACAAAAAACAATAATACTAATAATTAAAGAACACCCCAATGGTTTCAAAATTTAAGTTTTATCTATCCCAACCTTTTCTTAGAAACAGAGAAAATACAGGAAACAAACAAAAAATGAATCAAACTTTCTCATTTCTCTCGTGCATTTCTCCGCACTTTACAGTAGATTGTTGTGTGCAGGTTGTGTAGCGCTGAAACTCAAGACCTCCTTCAAAGGCCCCTCGCAGTGTTTTACACTTCAGCCCACACAAGGCTGCATACTTTTACAGAGATCTGTATAATACGTTGAGTGTTACTTTACAAGACACAGAATCTCCTGCAAGATCAAGAAAAAAAAA